GCCAAAAATGACTAGTCTGATTTAAAAGGAGAGCAAACCGTCTGTGTCTGTGTAGAAATATGATGTTTCGGGGTGATATAAGCCAGCTATGATTGCAGTGGCAAAAGGCTATAGCTTCAGAAAATGTTTCCTTCATCTATCAGGCTTAGTGCTTCCTCTCCTAATAATTCAGAGAAATGGCCGCTGCCCCTCTTTCGTGGGCTCTCATCTTCGCCTCTGCTTTCTAGGAAACCTCCTCTCACTCAGTAATCACTCTTCTTCGCTTGCCTTAATCCAGAGCACTGCGATGATTGCGTTGTATGGCTCAGCGTTGGCACCAGGAAAGGGGCTGAAAGTTCTGCCACATCTTTGAAAATGCTTCCTCTTGTTTCCCAACGTTGTTTGAAAAGATACAAATGGGTTTACTGTATGCTGCCAGGAGTTTGATAACCATCATTACGATTATAAGGTCGTAATGCTCCCTCTGCACTCCGTGTTCCTCTCAAACTGTGAACAATATGAAGTTAAACGAGAAACTTCTGCTGTGGCTCTTTCAGGGCCAAATCCAAACTGTTCTGCATTGCGTCAGTTTTGTGACTTTCTTTTTACATTTTTGTTCCCATCCTGAGATTATACTATTAACAAAAACTAAAATAGCCAGTAAAACAAAAAACAAACAAAAAACAAAAAAGAACCTCCCACAACCCACCCCTTTCTCTTATACAAAACTACACACTCTAAAAACACTCGGAAAGCAAAAAACATAAAAAAAAAAGAAAAGAAAAGGTGTCCATAGTCAGTTTTGTGAGATTCTTTTTACCTTTTTTTCCCAATCCTGAAATTATACTATAAACGAAAACTAAAACAGACTCTTAAACAAAGAAAACAAAAAACAAAAACAAAAAAGAACTTCCCTCTATCACACAAAAAACTACACACTCTAAAAACACCGGGAAAGCAAAAAACATTAAAAAAAAAAAAAAAAAAAAAGGTGTCCAAAGTTAGTTTTGTGAGATTTTTGTAAACCTTTTGTTTCCAATCTTGAATTTATACTATTAACAAAAATAAAATAGACTCTAAAACAAAACAAAAAAACAAAACAAAAAACAAAAAAACAGAAAAGAACCTCCCACAACCCACCCCTCTCTCACACAAAAAACTACACACACAAAACACTAGAAAAGCAAACACTAACATTAAAAAAGGTGTCCAAAGTCAGTTTTGTGAGATTCTTGTTAACGAAAACTAAAATAGACTCTAAAACAAAAAAACAAACCAAAAACAAACAAACAAACAAAACAAAAAAAACATCCCACAACCTACCCCTCTCTCACACAAAAAACTACACACACTGAAACACTAGGAAAGCAACAAACATTTTAAAAAAAGGTGTTCAAAGTCAGTTTTGTGAGATTCTTTTTAACTTTTTTTCCCCATCCTGAAATTATACTATTAACGAAAACTAAAATAGCCAGTAAAATAAAAACAAACCAAAAACAAAAACATCCTCCTACAATCCACCCTTCTCTCACACAAAAAACTAAACACACTTAAACACTAGAAAAGCAAACATTAACATTAAAAATGTGTCCAAAGTTAGTTTTGTGAGATTCTTTTTACCTTTTTTTTCCCCAATCCTGAAATTATACTATTAACGAAAACTAAAATAGACAGTAAAACAAAAAAAACAAACCAAAAACAAAAACAACCTTCTACAACCCCAGCCTCTTTCTCACACACAAAATAAACACACTTAAAAACACTAGAAAAGCAAACACTAACATTCAAAAAAGTTCCTTTGAATGAGTTCCTTTTTTTCTTTTTCTTTTTTTCAATGCTAAAATTATACATGATGAAGACAAAAATAGACTCCAATAACCCACTTCTCTCTCCACGATCATCAACACACACAAAATTACACACAAAAAAAACACTTGGCAAACAAAGTCTAAAGGCGCACTGTGTAACTTTTCTGGTGGATTTGCTTATCTCCATGGTGATTAGGGGTGTGCATTGCCTTGAGTCTGACAATACGATACATATCATTATTCACATGTCACGATTCAATATATCATGATATATCCCGATACTAAAACAATGGATGATATATTGCAATTTATCAGTAATTACTTATAATAATACAGTCAACTACACCTTCAAGAGAACACAATTGTATGAAATATAATTAATTCATTTTGATTTGGATCCATTTTGAATCAATTCGAGAATGGTGCAATGAAGTATCACGACACATCACTGGATCGATTTTTTTTTTCTTACACCCGTAATGGTAATATTCTGCAGTGTGACATTAAATAGCTTTACCTTACATTTATTCAATTACTGATGATTTTAAAATACGTAGAAAAACAGGCATTCTGACTGTGAGTAGAGATGCCTTTCCACAGATCTGACCTGTAACTTTGTCTGGTGATGTAGCTGCTTGTGTCCATGGAGATAGTTAAATTAAATGCCATACTGTAGAACATTCCAGGAAAAAACAATAACATCTATATTAGAGTTGGGTATCATTAAGAAGTTGCCGATATGATACGATACAAACCTCGATACATGGGGCACGATACGATTTTTCTCGATACAGTGAGCTTTTGATTCGATGCAATATAGTTCAAATCGATTTGATACTGTTCAATAAAAATAAAGGCTAAATCATGGCTGTGATACTAAAAGTCTTTGTTAAACCACTTCTTGTGCAAAGTGAATATAAAACGCACACATTTTAATCATCAAAAATAGTGATAATGTCAAATTTGTTTGCATAATAAAGTTTCCCTCCACTAAACAGCAACAAAACTCTAGCGCTGTAACAAAATTATTTAGTAAAATATACTGAAAAATACTCTTGGTGATGTATCGCTACAGCAGCCCAAGATATCAATACTGTATCCTCACATTAAACAATACGATATATCGATATTTCAATATTTCTGCACACCCCTACTTTATAAGCAGGTGATGGACCCTCTACCAGAAACATTACACATTGCACCTTTAACAGCCAGTCAAGTCCAGTCCTGTCAAGATGCTCTACACAGGTTTCCATGTCCGTTCAGAGTCAGTTTTGTGAGTTCCTTGATCTAATTTCTGCTTCTGCTTGCCTGTAGCTGTCATGTTTTTGGGTAGATTTTTCAAATATAAAGGGAGCAATACATTATCCCAATTTATCAAAAGTATAACTGGTGATAGAAGCCATATCCAAGGCATCATGCCAGTCCCCAGCGTCGCTATAAAGTACTTTGTCAGACGCATTTGGGAAGTGCTCTGTACCAGACTAATCCAATTGTCTAGATTGATTAGCAGTTAAAAGCCTTTCTTCCTCTGGTTCCTCTGCTGCCCTGTGAGCTAGCCTCAGCTGCTGTTAGCTTCACTTCCTGTGTAGGGTTTCACTGGACAGGATCGATACATGTAGACTAATTGGATGAACACTCACATTTCTCCTTTATGCCTTTTATGGTTAAGAGAATAAAAGCTAAATATGGGTTTATGGGAGGTTCTTTACTGTTGCAGTAGGCAATATAGCAGTACTGTTTATAAGGCCTGAGAGAGATTGGACCTACGCTGCTCTCAATGGCATTATAGTGTAGTGTTGGTACACAACCGAACCAACCGAACCGAAACTTTAGAAAGACGAGTGGATCTGGAGCTGTATCATGTCTCCCTGATTTCCTGAGGGTGTGATTGACAGGTTGATTAGCCAATCAGAGAGAAGCATGGTCTGTTTGTGTCGAAAACAAACATGGCTGTGTAAAAAAAGGGGAATAACAGCACAGTAGTAATAATACTGAATTCTCTCGTCTATTTTCATACATAAGCCACATTAAGCAAACAAACGGACGATTCTTGAGACTGATCCCTTAGTCCAGGCGTCCATGATCCATTGGCAAATCGTGGAGTAACTCGCCCGGCGTTGCCTCCCTGTTTTAGTGAATGTGTATTATGATTGTGAATGTGGGTGATTAAGTTTGTTTATTTATTTCCTACAAAGAGGACTCTCAAATATACATTGAGTAATAATGTCTTTAATGCAGCTTTGCACACATTTGTTTATGTTTTACAGAAATGAAACTTAAAACCACATGGCTCATTTGCATAAACTATAAGCGCTGAAAAAAAAACAGCTCGCTCCTGTCAGCTTCTGTCGAACGAAGGACTGTAAATTGGGCTTTGCTCCATGAGGCTCCTGACTACAGTAGCCTTAAAGCTCCGACAGTCCATTAAGCGGTGTGGCTTCATAACTTACCAAAGTGGTATTAAAACATTTTGACAGATTTTTGAGGGCCATGTACCACGCAAAATTGGTTTGAGGTCAGTAAGCACAACCAGAATGAATACATAAGGCGCACTGTTGATTTTTGTGAAAATTAAAGGATTTTAAGAGCACCTTATAGTCTGAAAAATATGGTATGTGCTTTGTTCTGAATAGTATGAGAATTTAGGAGAGGAGGTGTCCTCTGCATTTGAGGGACATGTGATTCAAATCAGTGACTACACATGGAAATTAGCTGTCTGTAAATGGTAAATGATCACATGTTTGTACAGTGCTTTTCCACCTTCAAGGCGCTTAACAACAAGAAACCACTCACCACTTCACACACCCACACACACCAGGGTACACAGACACGGGGGGGGCGAGGTGGGAAGTGTCTTGCCCAAGGACACAACGACAGCATTCATCTGTGGGAGCTGGAATCATGCCAGCCAACCTGTGGGATCTAACCTGTCAGTCATTGATGTTTATGTTAAGAGCGTGATTCGAACCACAAACCTTTGAGCTACTATCGCCCATACACTGTCCCTTCAAATAAATATAGACTAAACTAAACTAATTCAGTAGCTGTGGTTGGACCGTCTCAAGTTTGGAGCGAGGATTTTCACGCTCTGGTCCAGTTTCAGTCCTATTTGGATTTAAACAGAATGTAGAAGGGGCTCTTTGGTCAGGCAAGTCTGTTTCCACTGTGGGTCCCTGTTTCACCTCCTTATTCCCACTGTCTTTTGTACAGGATGACCAAATATGACGTGAAGAATTACCTGGAGAAGATCTATAGTGTTCCTGTGGGCGTAGTCCGGACCAGGATTCAGTATGGTGAGTATCTACGTGTTTGTATTAATGCAATAACAATGACTCCTGTGCATTGGTCTGTTGGTTCTAGGGGTGGCACAGATACTTGGTAGTATAATGGCACGATTGACTCCCTGGACCATTGACTGATAAAGCTCATATTGATACTGGTGAAGGCCTGGGCGGATCTAGAGAAAAAAAATCATGGAGTTGCAGTCAGGGTGTGCAAAAATATTGACATATTGTGATACTAAATTTGGTGATACAGTATCGTTATCATTGGCCGCTGTATCGATATGTCACCAAGAGCAGGGACGAGGATTATTTCATGGGTAGAAATGTATTTTACCACCTGTATTTATATTAACCGATAATTCAGATGCTGCAATGATTCAGTAATTCAGTATTTTAACATTAACTAATTAATTTAACACAATAACTGCTGACAGAAAAGTAATAGAAAATCGTAAATTTACATTGTCACTCTGGTGTTGGAGACATGGTTTTAGTTTGTGACAAATTAATGCTGTCCAAAGTTATTAGTATCTTCTTCTTTGTTGATCATATCATATAGAAATCTGAATCTGAAATAGTTCATGCCATAGTTACGTTACTATCAATAATTAGACTTGATTTTATAATGCTGTTGTGTTACATAAGTTTAGACCTGCTATTTCAGTGAATTCTGGAGAAAAAATTGGGGAAAAATTGTAACCAGCAGCTAAGCAAACAATCTCCTCTGTTGGTGGAGGTCATGTCAACGCAGGGAATGTGCAGTTAATTGACATTAAAGTGGCCTATCCTATATTCACACAGTCACTTCCATTCACCGCCTCCTGCTTCAGTAAATGATGTCTGTGGTAAACAGAAGCACGGTAAAGGAGAAGCAGCAGCACAGGCACAGACACTCATCCAGAGGTCTTCTACATATTCCTGCAAAAGTAGATTCCTCCAAGATGTTGTCAACAAGTCCATAAGATACAGCGTAAGACTGAAGCCTGCTCTAAAATTGACATAACCCATACTTTAAATTAAATTAAACTATTATTTAATAATGGCATAGATTATGGTTTAATAATGGCATTCAGTATTAAAGAAGATTATTGTGCTTTTCATACTTTTTAAACCCTCACAAATACATCATCATTTTACAGTTTACAGGTCCACTGACGTCCTGTTCATAACTGCAGAACTGATCGGCCCACCTCTTCACGGTGGCATTTCACCGTAGCAAATATTGGCTTTCATTTACATTCCACTTTATTTTTGAAAAGTGACATTTTAGAACCCTACATCTATCTCTCAGTCAGTCACTTAGTCTGTCACTCACTTGGTCAAATAATTGCAACTACATCACCAATATACGGCTTTGGGCGGGGATATGGGGTAGGTGAAAACAGAAATTTTCACAGCATTCAAACCTCAAATGCATGTAAATACCAGATTTCTCAAACATGTGTGAATCAATCAAAACACCGCTTTGAGTAGACTAATGATGAGGGAACACAGACAAGTGTAGTAGTCTCTGTGGAACAAAAGTCACACTGAACCAATTGTGGGTGCATTTGTGTCTAAAACGGTTGCAGTTTGAAGCCCTGTTGTTAAGTCACTAACTTAATTATTATGTTGGCTATTTATAGGAAGAGGAAACTGTTTGTTTGTAGACTTTGGGGGCTTTCTGCCAGTCTATTACAAAAAAGGTAACAAAGGAAGATGACATATGGTTATCATTAAGCACAGGCTGATGATGCATGTAGCTATGGGCCCACGAGGATCCCCCCATAACTCTGGTAGAGAGGGAAGAGCGGCGCCTCTTGGCCTAACCTACAGGTATACCCATTAAAACTGTTTATTAGGGTTGTGTCCGGATAAAACCAGGTTTGAGGAACAGCCCTCAGGACTGGGAGAGTGGAAGGAAAGAAGTGGGCAGAATGGGCAGAACGGGGCCCCTGGTCCCGGGTACGTCACAGAGGTATCCCTGTTTGCGTCAGGGGTTCCTCTTGACTGGCAACGTAAAGACACGACAGGCTCAGAGCGAGGGGAGCAAACGACCCTTTCTTCCATCCATGGGCGGCACGGGTATTTTGGAGGGTGTTACCATAGTTACCTCTCTGGCCAGGGATTTGTAATGTGATAGCTAGCTGCCAAACCACAATCTCAAAGTGGGAGAAATTGTGCTTGGGTTTGCAAATGTTGAATGAAAGCTTTGCCTGTACTTGATACAATGATGATATATTATTTGTTTGTATATTGTTCTTTTTGCCTTGTAAGTATAATTTAATAGTTTCAGTTTAAGGAATCCTTAATTCTTTAATAATTACAAACGCACTCTGGCTCCCACCCACCGGGACCTCCATTTTGCCAAAGGGTGTCGAGGTGCGTTTTACAGCCCTGTGCAGGGCTTTCCCTGGGCACTGGGCTGTCTGGTGGGTGATTACTGGCTCAGCGTACCACATACACACTATATCCTCATACACACCAGTGCACCCGCACACAAATGACTCATTACAGCGGAATGTTTCCCTTGTTTTTCATGTCATAAACGGTTCCCATGGCAATGGCAGTTTCTCTCGGGGCCTGTTGACTCGACCACTATGGTCTTGTTGAGAAATGTTAGAATCATGAAACTGATACAGTGTTTATCCTCTGTCACTGATGATAAAATTTTTGCGTTATGTTGCCTAATAGTTAGATACCTGAGGTTGAGGACACCCTTGAACAATTTTGTGGTTGCCTGAAGAATGGCTGGGCGCTGCTCTTTTTTACGAAGGCCTGGTTGCAATTGCAGTAGCCTTTGCATCTTAACCAATGCAAAGTTCATTTAGTCTATAACTATAAAACAACAGTGTAAATATCCACAAATAGAATAATATGGTATTAATTTTAACAGAAAACCTGTTGGAAACTGAAAATGCTGTTTAATACTTTTAATAATTTATAGAATTATTTTATGTGGCCCATCACTGCGTCTAAGGTTTTGTCTTATCATCAGTTAACTTAATCAGTTATTATTCATTAATTTTTGAAAATAAATGATATAAAACTCTTTTCTCTAGGCTCCAATAAGAAGAGGAATCACCTGAACCAGAGAGTGAAGCAGCCAGACTACAAAGTGGCCTATGTGCAGCTGGTAAGTGGACCTGCCTCCTTTATAAAGCTCAGTGTGTAGGTAAACAGGCTCCAAACATGAGGTATGTGCATCTAAACTCAGCATGAACTGATGTGAAGTTTTCAGAGATGGGACAGAAGTTGATTTGCGCTTAGAGGATTTTTTTGTTCAGCTTTGTGTGAATTTTTAAAGAGCTGCACATACGAAAAGACTATTGAACTTTTTGTATTGCTCTGATAAAAAGTTCTGATCCCAAATAATCACTGGCTGGACATAAAAGTTGATTTAACGCACACATTCAAACCCCAGACACGCTGTCATACAGATGGGCTGGGGGTACCCCTGTCTCCTCTAGCCCCTCCTCACGCTTTCCCCACACACGCACCAAGACTTCCCCTTCATACACACACACACACACACACACACACACACAAATACAGGGCCCCCTCCTCTGTCCCCCTCCTCTCCCACCTCATCTGCCTCATCTTGACATGGATGCTCGGTCTATCTCAGTCAAACCCACTCAATATCAGCTTGGGTTTAAATGCAAATCGTATTCATAAGTCACTTTGCATTGCCTTTGAAATTGAGTGGAGAGAGTATGACATGAGGTGGGCTTGTGTGTGCAGACCAGAGACCGTATAAAGAAGTGGACTAAAGGGAATCAAATGGAATCAAACAAAGCTCATGAGGCTAGCAGTTATGGGGTGAATTTGGCGCAAAGTTCCAAGAAACAGGAATTAATTTACGGGCAAAATGGTGAAATAAAAACACCAGGATCATGTAGCATGGGTTAAAGGGACAGTCCGGAATTTTGGACATAGGACCTCATTTCCTAGTGAGCCAGAGTGTTGGAGACGTGTGGAGACACTTTTTGAAATAATCCATCCAATCCTTGTAATTCCAGAGGTCGCTGGTGCTAGGCTAGTGCATGTCAATGGCCATAGTTATCCTGCCACTAAAAACAGTCTTGCCCACTCCATAAAACACCCGAAACAAATCTTTAAATACGCCAGACTGTCGATGTAAATGTCTGTGTTCATAGAATAATGTTTGAAATAAATCTAACCTTGCATCGCATGAATTGTCGCATGTTGAGGGACTATTTTCTCATATATCAGTCCGCCGCTGCCAAACTTTCTATCAGGAAGTACAACTCGCTGATGCTGCTCAGACATAAATCCTTGAAATGCAAGGTTAATTTTATTTCAGACATTATTCTATCAATACAGACATTCACATCGACAGTCTGGTGTAATAATAGATTTGCTTCAGGTGTTTTGTGGAGTGGGTAAGACTGTTTTTAGTGACAGGCTAACTATGGCCATTGACATGCACTAGCCTAGCACCAGCGAACTCTGCAAATACAAGGACCGGATGGAATATTTTTAAAAAGTGTCTCCACACATCTCCAACACTCTGGCTCATGAGGAAATGAGGCCCTATGTCCAAAATTCCAGACTATCCCTTTAATTTGAAGGCTTTACGACCAAAATGATGAACCTGACAGCAGAAGTTACAGAGAGGGGGCGACATTTTATTCAAAACAAAGCAAACTGGTGCTGGAGTCGATGGAGCCAGAAGCGCGCCCATGCCCACTTCCTATTTGGAATGTAATGGCTAGTGGGTTACCTTTGTCCATTTATGTTTACAGTCTGTGGTTCAGATTTTTCCTCAAAGTTATCTGCTGTTGAGGTTACGGATGTTTCCTAAAATCAGAATATTTTTGATCTGGTCTTTACCCCTTTGATTCCTCTGCGCTCTTAAGACCTTGTATAGTATTAGGTCACTGGGTTTAGTACACAGTGGAAAGGACAACGTATTCATTTGATCTTTTGGTTGTTTTGTGGCAGTAATAACAAAAACAGTGGGCCTTTTTCTGTGGTGGTGTCATTGGTTTTGCAGACGGACATGTTTATCTTTTGAAGCTGACCTCTAAAACCTTCACACACTGGAATCTAAAGACCAACTCCATAAACTTGGCAAATTGGTGAAGATTATTATTAGGTAAGGCAAGGCAAGGCAAGTTTATTTGTACAGCCCAGTTCGTTCACAAAGTGATTCAAAGTGATTCAAAATGATTCACAGAATAAGAAAGACACAATCACAATACAAACAAATCAGAACATAAATTATTACTTATTAGTGACACTCCCCAGGCTTGATACACCCCAGATTGGTAATTCTCTCTGCTCATTTCAAGTTTTAACATGAATATTGAGGAATTTGGAAATGAAAGTTTGATTTATTTTAGTTCTCAACCTTCTACCGTGGTTGTTTTTATCTTGCATATAATCAGGAACAGACTCTTCTTGGATGTTCAAATAAAAAGGTACCTCCTGCAAACTTGGAACTATCAACTTCTAAGACTGAAGATTAGAAGTGTTCTCGGCACAAAATGAAGTAGCCATTATCCTTTTTACAATGAATACTTCCTCTTCCTCGGTCTGGGCAACTAATTGAAAGATCTATAGAAGGTTGGGGTTTTTGAATGGAGAGCTCCATAGCCAATCCTTGGTCAGTAAAAGCATGTGGTTTGGGTTTTCAAACTCTGGAGGTTGGATAAAAAGTTGGATAAATGACACTGCTTAAAGTTCTGCATTGTTTTAGACTTATACTTAAATTTAGACAAACTCTGTTGATCCACAAGGGAAATTACTTGGACACAGTTAGTAGCTCACACATTACAATATAATATAATATAATAACAAAAAGCAAAAATATGAATGGAAATCATAAATTCAAAATAAGTAGGAAAAATAGCAAGAGACTAGTGTCAAATAAGGCATAATTACACAATTGTATATGTACAAGTAAAAATAAAATATAATGAAATATAGCAATAATTCATAAAAACAATACTAAAATACTTTTAACATTTGTTATTGAAAAGACAATATAACATATTAAAAATATACACTGCTCAAAAAAATTTAAGGAACTCTTTGAAAACACGTCAGATCTCAATGTGGACAGCATGTGCCTGACAGAATGACCTCCAGCAGGCCACTAGTGTGAATGTTTCTGTCCAAACAATCAGAAACAGACTTCATGATGGGGGCTTTAGGGTGACATATCGTGTAGTGGCCCCTGTACTCACTGTCCAACACCGTGGAGCCCCACTGGCATTTGCTAGACCACACCAGAATTATAAAAGTCCACACTAGTGCCCTGTGCTTTTGACAGTTGAGAGCAGGTTCACCCTGAGCACCTGTGATAGAAGTGAAAGAATCTGGAGAAGATGAGGAGAATGCTCTGCTGCCCACAACATGGATCAGCATGAGTGGTTTGGTGGTGATTCAGTGTTGGTCTGGGGAGGCAGATCCATGGAGGGGTGCACAGACCTCTGCCGACTAGAAAACAGCTGACTGCCATTAGGTATCGGGATGAAATCCTTGAACCCATTGTCTGACCCTACGCTGGTGCAGCAGGTCCTGGGGTCCCTCCTGATGTACGAAATACCCAGCCTCATGTGGCAAAAGTCTGCAGACAGAACCTGGAGGATGAAGGGATCGATACAGCTGAATGCCCCTCACGATCAACGTGACAGTACACCTCTTGGACATTATGTTTGGGTCCATCAGATGCTGGCAGGTTGCTCCTCAGATTCTACTGGAGCTCCGTGATGAGGACATCACTCAAAACACAATCCGTCATCTCATTTGAAGCATCCCACGATGCTTGTATGCATCTTTCAAACATGCATACAAGCATGTGGGCAAAATACAAGCTAGTGAAAAGTGTTTTGAGTTTCAGAAATTAAAATTTTGCAAAATGAACTAGTCTACTACGTCATAATTTCAGTTTGATTTTCAGGGTGTAAAATAATTTTTCACATTGAGATCTGATCTGTGATCTCAGCTGAGGTGGAGTTGTTCTGTGGTGATGGTGACAAAGAGGAAACTTTTCACTTTATAGATTTGTCATTGGGCCTTCTAATTTTCACAGCAGAAATGTTGAAACATGCACAAATATGCCAAAAGAAAATAACAAATATCAGTTAATCCTCTCTTGGTTAAATCTTAGAGGATTCTTAGAGTACGTTCTTACAAAACAACTACTGATTTCTTAAGTCCTGGCTGAGTTTTCAGAAATATTACACTGACTTTTTCCATTATCAGTACAATAACAAAAAAAAAAAGAAAACATATAGAATTTTTCCGGATGCTGTATAGGTCAGTGTACGTTCATGTGTCAGTCCTCCCACGAGCAGAAACAAATATATGCTATCGTCCACACAGCCAAAGGAAACCATCTTTTCTTTTGCAGCGGTGGGTAGAAAACAAGATTGTTCCTAATTGACTCCACATGTGAGAGAGTGTTCTGTGGGCTTGTACCCCCCCCATCCCACACACACACACACATACGCACACACACACGCACGCACACACACACACTGCTCAAACCCCGCTCCCTTCATACGCTAATATTGCCACAGTAATACGTGTGCTTATGCGCCCTCTCCCCCCTTTCATTCCTTTCTCTTGGTTTGCGGGCTTCCGTGACGGCCATTTTCCTCGGGCTTAGGGGGACCCGGGTTTGCAGGGGGAAGAGATAGCGTCTGGTTGTGTCAAATGTGCGCGGTGTGTGGGAAAGAGTGTGAGGGGCGAGCAGGGGTGAGAAGGGGAGGTGACTAAGGGCACGGTGGAGTCATGCCAGAGCAGTGATCAAGGGGAGGGCCAGAGCGGTGCAGGCGGTGGGGCTGACAGACTGTGGTCCAAACTGAAAATCTTGACTTTATCAGAGTGCTTTCGTGTTTGGCGCTGTGTCAGAGGGGCTGGTGGTCTTGGAGTCGGACTGCTTTCCTGCGCCAACACTGCTCACTGTTTCAAACCACTACTACTACTACCATTTCACTGCTGAAGAGCACAGAGCCCCATTTCCATTTAACCATCACTTACTCCTAAAACCTCTGCAAATCCATGCTAGTGCTTTCACAAAAGAGAAAGCACTTTGAAATTATAGTCATTGTGCAGCCTCATTATTGTCAGTCAAACATTTACGATAAGGTACTCTTTGCA